GGACATTGTTTCTCTTAGCATCAAAGAATTAATAGAAGACAATACTGCATCTGAACATAAAAAGCCATTACAAAACTGGTTTAACTATTTTTGTACCTAAGTTTTTAAGCTTGAAGATAAAGTAACTGTAAATACTGCTGATGGTAAGTACAAATCACGTTAATTTTTTATAACTTTTTATTTTTATTTAACTAAAAAATTGTTTATAAATAAGGATATATGGCAAGACCAACAACTGTTAGATCTTTTTTTGATTTAAATTTTGTTTTACCCTTTTTCTTTATAGGTTTTGTTTTTTATTCTTTATATCTTTTGTTTGTTTTAAGACAAATGAAGCATGACAAAGAGTTTTATTTATTTGATCAATACAAAAAATTAGGCATTTGATTTTCTTTTCTTAAAACCTTTAATAATCTGGAATATCAATTTAAAAATGAACATCAAATAGTTAAAACCTCTTGTTTGTTTATTTGTAATGAAAAATATTCATGAGAACATTTGATGATTTTGATTTTTTTATATAAACAACAAGAATATCCGTTTATTTCTGTGTTTACACCAAAACTAAAAAAAAGGAAAAAGAACTAAGTTGTTGAAATTAATAAATACTTTTGATGATTGAAATGATTACCAAACGCACATAAAGGACAAATATTCTGTTTTTTGCAACTTAAAAGGTTCAGAAGATGAAGTACATAAATTGTTAAATAAAAATTATTCAACAATAACTTTTGTAAAAATTACTAATGAAAAAAATCTTTTGTGGGAAGAGAATAATTATTGACTTTGTCAAAAACAATTAAATCAAATGAAATTTTTAATAAAGATAGGAATTTTATATTTACTGAGATCAATAAAGTATTAACCTAATTAAAATAAAAGTAATTTATAAAAATATTAATTTTTTCCTTTAATTATTGTTATTTTTCTACAAAAATAATTAAAAGTTTAATTAACTTTAAAACCTAGTTATTAGGATAATATTTAAATAAATTAAGTAGGGCAGGTAGCGAAGTGGCTAAACGCATCTGACTGTAGATCAGACACCTTTTGGTTCCGGGGTTCGAATCCCTCTCTGCCCACCAAATTTGGGCTGTAGCCAAGCGGTAAGGCACTAGACTTTGACTCTATGATGCGATGGTTCGAATCCCTCCAGCCCAGCCATTTGGCTCACTAGCTCAGCGGGTTAGAGCATGCGCCTTTAAGCGCAGGGTCCTGGGTTCGAATCCTGGTGGGCTACCAATTTTACAAAAAATTTATAGCTGAGTGGCGGAATTGGCAGACGCCCAGGACTTAAGATCCTGTGAAGGTAACTTCGTGAGAGTTCGAGTCTCTCTTCCAGCACCATTGCAGCCATAGTTTAGAGATAGAACAATAGCCTTCCAAGCTATTAGCGAGGTTTGATTCCTTTGGCTGCTCCAAAATACTTTTTCCACAATATTCTTTTACAATTTTTTGTATCTAATGAAGTTTAATTTTCACCTATTTAAATCCTACTTATCTAATACACTTTCATTTGTAGAGTTCAAATTTTTAATAAAAACTTTTTCTTATGCTGCTTTTATTTCCTTTCTTTGGTTTTTTCATTTCAACAATGTTGTTGGTTGATAATGCATATTCTTTCTTAGAGATTCCTTTTATTCGTATATGTGGTATTTTTATATCTATAGCTTCAACATTTGCCCTCTTTTTTATTTCTTTCAATATCAAGCTAATCTTTAGGTGTTAAGAAAACATTTATACAAAAAATATTTTTTCTTTATTGTTTATTTCTTATACTTTTGTCTTTTTATTTGCTTTTAAGCTTTTGGCATCAATGATTAAAATTGAAGGCTATTATTTACCTGCTTTAGTTTTTGGTGTTTTTTCTATTACTTTTTGTTGTTACTTAATTCCTGTATTTATAGGACTGTATTTAAAAAGCCATAAAACTATTTTGACTTTTATGCAATTCTTAAAGTATTGCTATTTGATTTATGGTGTTTTATTTATAGTTATGTTGATTTCTTACTTGGTTTCTTTTAAAACATGAGATTCTTTATCTATGCTTCTTTTCTTATTTATGGGAATAATAATTTTTTCTTCACCTGTTTTAACAATGTATAGATTGAAAAACACAATTAAATATATTGATCACTCTGATGAAGATGCAGTTTACAAATGAGAAATGTTTTTTACCTTTGAAATTTTGGTGCAATTAATGCAATGGCTATTTACATAATTAGATTACTAATTATTTTGTTGGGCAGAGGTGGTAGAAGATAAAATTGACAATTATTGACTTGTCACTTTTAAGATTGGCAATTATTTCTTTTGTCATTATTAATAAAAACAGCTTTTAAAAATATACAAAAAAACCAACTTTCCATTGGAATTTTGTTTTTTTTTTATAGCGTCTGGATCAACAGTTTTTTTGTCTTCAGAAAATTTAAGTGACAATATCCACAAATCTACATTACCTTATACATCGCCCAAAAACACACTACATGACTTTGTAATTTCAAGACTTCTGCTGCTGATGCTTTACCAAATTCTTCATTTGATTCATCAATAATTACTAATCCCTTTTTTTTAAAGCAACTTGCAAATATAGATATTGGTGCTTCTTCTTCTTGGAGGTGAAGCAAAGCCAGGAATAATGGTCAACCTTTTGTTAAAACAGTTACTAGTAGCACAAATAATGGTGAAAAAACTTTTTACCAGTTTATTTGAAAAATCAGCAATAGACAAAACCTTAAAACTACCTAATTTTGCTGAAGGTATTAATTATCATGCAGAAAATACTCAAGGTTATTGCCAAGATAACAGTACATTTACTTGAACACCAAAACAATTTGTTTTCACAGATAGAAATGACGCTGGTTTTTACAATTTGAAATATCAAGATTATCAAATAAATTGATCAGAAAAAGCCATGGCTAATGGCGCAAAAGTTAATCATTATTGTTCAAAATATCATCATTTCACTCAACATTAGATAACTTCAAACCTATATTTATTAATTATTTAGAACATTGAAGCCAACAAAAATTAATGCTGATTTAACTTCAAGTACAAAAACTACTTTACTGACAGTAATTCAATATCAAAATACGATTTAACAGAAGATGAAATACTAGATTTAGAAGATGCAACAATCAACAAAACTTATTGAAGTAGGATTCATGAAGCGCCTGATGATCCAAAAAAATCAAATGAATTAAAGCTTAACTATTACCCTTTTATGAAAAAGACATATCTTTGCATTTGTCTATGAAATTTAAAAACAATTTGCCAAATGGGAATGATATAAACCCAAAATGAAAAAAATTAATACGAGATATTAAAAATTCACCTGTCTTTTTTTTCACTTAATGATTTTGATAAAAGACTTGTAAGCAACACTATTCAAAATGAAAAACTATTTGATACTTTTGACATTCGATTATTTTTAGGACATAATGACAATATTCATTTTGAAGACGAGAGATGACAAAGCATATATTTACCACACTTGCCCGCGATTACATACAACCAACAACTGTCTGCTATATATAAATTATTATTATGAGATTTTTATGAGCAAAATAAAAATCAATCTACTGATGGTTACAGTGAAGCAGAAATTAAAAACAAAAGTAATTTTCAAAATTATTTTGCTGATTTAAAAAAAAAGGATGATTTCAAAAATTAAAGGATTTAATTGCTCAATTAAAAACCAAAACAACAACTACAGAAACTGCTGAAAGAAAAATGATTGCTTGGGATAAGGGAACTTCAACTGAATATGATGCGGATAAAGTAAATTATGACAATCGATTTTTATATGCCGAAGACTTTATTTTTAACAACATTTCCAACATTAATAAAAAATACTCAGACTTAAAAAGCACATTTGCAAGCAAGACCAAAAACATAAATATGAAGAATACAAGAGTAGTACAAGCATCAATAACTTAACTGTACAAAACTTTTCGGAATCAAGCAGTACAACAGAACTTTTAAAAGATAAATTATTGGATTATTGAGACAAATGAATAAGCAAAAAAACCTTTGATCATAAAGAAATAGAGCTTGTTAAAGACAAAAAAGATGCCCAGTCTATATCAACAAAAGTTGTTTCTGTAAATAGTACAAAAACATCATTCCATCTTCTTTGCCTTATATAGAAAAAAACAAAAGGGTCAAGCTCTTCATCATCAACAACTTCACAAGCTTATGGAAGCACACACACAATCGCACCAACAGATTTCATGAAAGTTTTTGAAACCTTAGAAGATAATTTTGTAAAATCTAAACCAATACATCCGTATTAAAACAGAAAATAGAGAACACAAAATCAAACAATTCTTAAATAGCAACAACTTATTAAAACTATCTTTTCTTGTATATAACTATCAGTATCAAAATACTGTACCTTTAGCAAATGCAAAAATTAGTAACTACAAAAGAAAAGAAGAAGATTCAGACAATAATTTTGATTTAAACCTCATAGATCTGCTGTTGTAGATAATGCTGGTTTAGTTTCCTCTTTAAAAGATCCAAACAAACTAAACCATAAATTCAAAATAATACTTAACAACAAAGGTAAAAAATGACCTAAATAAATTACAAATCATCAAAGGCAATAAGTTATTTGAAGTAGAAAACGACAACAAATCAACTATTGAAAACATAAAAAAAAAATACAAACAAATTTTTCCCTTCCTTCGAGATGGCTCCTTTGTTAAGGGTTTTATATAGGGCAAAATATAACTCCGAAGATTTAAGTGACCTAATTAAAAGATGAGAAGCATATTTTTCAGATCCTCACGATTTGCCTTGAGAACATAATCACTTTAGCCAACATGATTATTCAAGAATCCAAAAAATAATTCAACAACTCAAAAATAATTCATATACCTTTGAAGGTTCAAAAATATCATTTGACTTTCAATCATATGACTGAATTCGTTTATTAAGAACAATAGATGTGAAGATATTTTTTGATGATTTAAAGATTCTTGGTTATCTTGAAGAACCGTCATCTTATTTTGCTGTTGTATCACCAGAATATGCCAAATTAAACAACATCAAACCTATAACAAATGAACAATATCAATATTTTTCAAAATTATTAAAAAATCCTTATTTAACTCAAGAAGAATGAGAATCTGCTTACTATAAGTTTCTTCTTGATGCAGGAAACCATGACAGCATATTAAATATAAATACCAAAAGTTAATTATTGTTGGTATTGGTTTAACACCTGATTTCTTATTTCCAGCACATTCATGATTAAGTATTATTCCCAACAAAGATAAAGAAGGTCTTGTTTATGTAGACAAACACGCCTTTGAAAACTTTATCTTTGAATCTAAAGTTGCATTTTTGAGTCGTATCTGTCATTCAAATACCCACCTAATGTTGTTAAACAACATCAAGAAGAAAAATATTTAAAAGACTTTTCAACTTTCATAAATCAATACATACCAAGTAATTCATATGAAATTGTTAATACATCTTCTACAGCTAAAAACTCAAATCTATTTTCAATAAGAAGTAAATATTCAAACATGATTCAAGGCACGCTATCCTTAGTTTCCAATTCACTTCTTTACACAATCTTTACCATTGTTGTTTTTGTTTTATTTTTATTAATCAAAAATACATCAAAAACATGAATATTTTTGGTATCTTCATCATGAACGGTACCTCTAAATGGTTAATTATTTTTAGTTCATGTATTTATGCTTTAGTTCCGCATTACTAGCAGCAACTTTAGGTTATGCATTGTCCTTATTCCTTCAAGGAACAGTATATGGCCTTGTTTCTAATTATTGATTCTTACCATTCCAGTTAAGTGGTTTTGATGTCTTTAAATATTTAGGTTTTTTAATAAAAACAGCATTCTTTATCACCTTAATCTCTGTTATTTCTGCTTCCTGAGTATTAAAAGCAGATACCAGTAGATTGATAAAAGAAAGTGCTGTATTCACAAATAACAAACTAACCAAAAAGATTTATGACTTGTTGTCCAAAACTACATCTCTTTGAAAATTCAGATTTTCTGTTATTTTTAATGCTTTAAATCAAACAATAATCCTTACAAATGTATCAATAATTTGCATTGTTTTAGTTAATTTCTTGTTACACAATATAGGAAAATTGAAGAAATTCATAGGTCTGAATTAGCAAGCAAACAACATGGTTATGAAATTGAATATCACACTCTACTGAACAAGCAGGACAATATTACTTGCAAAGCTATAAAAACTTAGGAAAAAACATTTGTTAACAATGTAAATACAAATATGACATTGTTGATGCTGATGAACAAAAATTCCAGTGAACTTTAATAGCGATAATCCAGAATTAGTTGCTTCAAACATCAATAGTCCATATCATCAAAAAGATTTCAAACCCTTTGATGATTGCTTAACAAGTTTATATGCCAAAA